TGAGCTTTTTGATAGGTGATTTGTTTTTTAGAGAAGCAGCCAATCCCTAATGTCAATATGCTTTTTAGGGAAGCTTGAAAAAGGTATATAAACTGCTGTTTTTGTTTGTTTGGTGTCTCACTTTTGCTTCTTTCCTGCCTATTAAAGAAACTTTACCATACGAAGTCTCAACTTGAAGTATTTTTAAGAACTTTAAGAACAAGTATTTTCAGTAAGGCACAAGGGGTGGTTGATCAGTAATAGTAGTAGTCATATTTTTATCTTCCACAATACAAAAACCAGAGTTCATGTTTAATAATTTAATCTATTTGAGAATGTTTAAGTGTCTTTTAGTATACATTGAAAAAATAGTTTTGATTATTTCATGTGATTTTTACATATTTTTGGGCACTGATTGAAAAAATGAAACATTTTCTCCATCATGTAACATTTTTCTCAAAACACAATTCTGTGTGTTTCACTGGGTCAGAAGTCGATCACTTCCCATATTTTCTCTTTGAGTGAGAGAGCAGAGCCAAGAATGAGAGGCTTGGGTATCATTTCAAAGAAATTGAATCATTCAAAGAAATTTTCGTTAACAGTAAAGATCATACTTATAAAGAAATTGCAAAAAAAAAGAGTACTAGTTAAGTTTAAGGAACTGGGTTGCAACGTGAGCCTCAAGGTTCACTTTTTGGATTCACATTTGGAATTTTTCCCTGAAAATCTTGGTAGAGCATGAAGGACATGGAAATGCTATGACATCATAATCAAATCAGTCTCTACTTAGGCTGGTGTCGAGGTAATAGTGACATCAGAGGTAATAGTGACATCAGAGGTAATAGTGACATCAGAGGTAATAGTGACATCAGAGGTAATAGTGACATCCAGTTCGATCCCCTTTGTCAGAAACCACAGTTGCACTTATTTGTTAGCACCTATTTAGAATAATGTACCTTAAATGGCAGTGTCCTGTAACACCTGTCACTAGTGCTTGCAGCCACACTCTACCACACCTGAATATTAGCCAGCAAAACGTTTGCCTGACTTTTATTAAATGGACTTGGCTTTTGTTTTGACCCTAATCTAGGACTGTTTTATGCTTGTTTGTCCTTATCGTAAAACATTAAACTTGCTGGCTCTGTGCTTGGATATCTGATCCCTGTTATTACAGAGACTGAGACTGGGGCACATTGGACAAAAAGGTCCAGAACATCAAGAATATATGTTCCTCAATGCAAAAGCACCCTCTCTATAACGCACAGCACGCAGTTTAACAAGCAGAACCACCAGGGGGAGACAGCTGACTACATCTTGAAATAGGATTTCTAATGTAATGAAAACTGCCCATTTTACATTGAACAATTCCGTTGTTTAACAATTAGTTGGAGCCTTCTAACGTTGATAACAAAGTAAAATGTCCCTTTATTCTTAACGAATCATATTCACAGATACACATATGCAGTGATCTTATTTCTTTTTAAATGTCATTTTCCTGCTTGTTTATGCGTTTATTGTCCACTTTGCTTATGCTTTGTTGTGTTTATTTCTACCTAAATTATTCTCTGCTGTATTTATCCCTTCTGTGATACTGGATAAAAATATTTCCCCTCCTCTCTCCTCATTTTATCTTATCTTATAATGATTTTATTATGCTTTGCATTCGATATCTCCAAACTAAAGACACCAACACTGCAGACACAGGACTACAGCATAGCCCTGTCTAACAGATTTCAAGTCCTTGCATGTGTGGAAGACGGCTCCTTGGAGCTGAGGAGATGCGAGGATTCAGGAACTGGGAATATAAGAACTGGTCTTATGAACAAACAGAAAGACGGAGAAGTTCAGGACGATCAAACACTGCCTTGGACATGCCAGAGCCAGAGCCCAGCAGCAGGTATAACAAGAGTACAACTTGAAGGACAAGGAAGTCAAGAATGACTGCAAGAAGAGACAAAAGGGAGTTTTAGCTACAGACACCAAGGATGCAGCTTAGAAGAATGACTTGAAGACCCTGTACACCATCACACGTCAGCTGTCTGGCAAGAAGACCAGACAAGAATGTCAACACCAACAGGCCTGTCCGAGGGAAAGATGGAAACATCTTTACAAAGCCATTTGACCTGCTTGATAGGGGGAAGGAACATTTCATTGATCTGCTCAATGGTACTACAGTGGAGAACCTTCCCAAGAGAAACAGATGAAGATGTGAATGCCTGGATCACCAAGGCATGTCAGGCCTTTGATGCCCTGAAACCAGAACAAGAACCACAGTCTTCATACCACGTTTATGGGTGTTTAACACAAATGTTAAGTCTGTGCTGCTGTATGGGGTGGAGACCTGGAGATGGACCAAGTGCCTCGACAACAAGCTGCAAGTCTTCATCATCACCTGCCTTAGACAGATCCTGCACATCAGCAGACCAGAGCGAATTTCCAGCCAGGTGGTCTGACGGAGAACCAGGCAGCAACCCATTGCCTACACCATCCAGATGAGACAGTAGAAGTAGATTGAGCACCCCCTTCACATGGAGCAGACAATCATTCTGCACCATGCCTTGGACTGGAATCCACCAGGGAAAAGAAGAAGACCAGTCCTGACATGTATAACTATAGAAGAAACCCTACAGTCAGAACTTAAGACCACTGAATTATCTTGGGGAGAGTTGAAGCAGATAGCCCAAGACAGAGGAGACTTACAGTGAAGGCCCTGTGCTCTGACCAGAGAGAAGAGGAATCCGATAGCCCAAGACAGAGGAGACTTACAGTGAAGGCCCTGTGCTCTGACCAGAGAGAAGAGGAATCAGATAGCCAAAGACAGAGGAGACTTACAGTGAAGGCCCTGTGCTCTGACCAGAGAGAAGAGGAATAACTAACACATTAAGTAGCTTACTCACAGTCATAAGTAGCTATTGAGAAAGGATGGCTTACAAATGCTAATCATTTAGCCAACGTGTCTGTAACTATTCATGATGCCAACACTTCAACCTCCCAACCCTGCCCACCCCCACAAAGACTATCATCCTACAGTCATCAACTTCATGGGATGTTTCTTTGCCGTTAAATACTTTTTAGCCTTATAAATCCACTGGAGATCTCCCTCCAGACAGAACAGCCATGGTGTTGCAAAAACAAATAGAGCATTTGTCTTGCCAGCAGGCCCACCCTGACCTTCATAGTCCAGGAGGAACCCTCACATAATTACAGATGACACTTAGGGAGGAGGTCTCTCCTCTGCTACGAGGTGTTACTTCACCATTCAAGTGACCTTCGGCTCTTCTGTCAAAACATTTACATTTACATGTGTTGCCGTGGATGATCCAGTTTCTCAAACATGCCGACAAACACTTCATTTGGCTTATTCCTAGCTAGGTGTCGGGGTACTTTAACTCAAGGGCTTTCCTGGGTTGAAGCTTAACAACCTCTGCAGAAAGGGGCCCTCAACCAACCTGGTTCATTAAATTTTAAACCTAAAGTTGCCACCCATCATATACTTTACAGGATCGTCCCATACTGAAAAATGGCCTTTTCGAATTAAAATGGCCACCAGCATTTTTAAAAATGTTATTGTTGTCATCCCTGAACCCCCCCCCCCCAGTTGACAACTACACCATCATGGAAAACAGCAAAACAGTAAAGGCCTCTGACCACTGAAATAGTCCAAGAGCTTTTAACCACCTTACTGTGACTCCAGCGAGGTGTGTGGTGCAGTAAATGGGTCATAAAGGCTACTGGTGAAACTGTGTAAATAGAACACCAGTCCATACTGAATATTCACCTTCATTCACTGTGAGGTTTTTAGCACTTGATTAACGAAAGATGGGCCCAACTATCATGAAAACCACTGGTAGTCAAAGTCTTAAAGGTAGGGTGTGTGTGTCTGTGCGTGAGTTGGTGCCACAGAATGCGGTGAGCATGTTTGTTTGAGGGGCAGAGAGGAACAAACACGCTTTGAAGTGCCGCCGCATGACTCATTAGCGTGACCTTCGGATGCAGATTGTTTGCAGGACCAGTTGGTCTCTGTGGGGATGATTCACTGGGAGGCGCGTTCCACACACCACACAAACTGAAGCACGCCATGCTTTCGGACGTCATTAGCTGGCTTGGCTTTGGTGCCTAGTCGCAGCTGAATGGAAGTAGGAGCAAATTAAATTGTCTTGCTAAATGCATCCATTTATACAGGACAGGTTGGATTTTTGAAGCTTGTATGTAGTTCCAAGGACACCATCTATGAACTTCTGACTGCAGTGATGGTTCCTATACACTGCAGACTGTGGCCCGTAGCAAGAGCACCGGCACTAAGGACACAGACAGCCGTGCCTCACCCCTCCCCCCTCACCCCTGCAGGCTCTGGGCTCTCAGCAGGTGCATCCAGCATGATGCCCCCCATCCCCATCAAAGGATCCAGGAGCATTTGAAAGTAATTAAAGAGCAGCTGAGGAGGGGGCCACCAGCCTGGCCTGTTAGACAAAGAGAAGGAGCCCCTCTGACCACTTTGAAACACACTCAGCTGAGCTGCTGAGGTTTTGTGGAACATGTAGTGGGGGACGGGGAGAGGGTGTTGAGTGAGAGAGTCTAAATCAGCCATCAGCATTTCAGAGTTTCCCAACCCCATCCTGGGGACCCCCAGACCATCCACATTTTTGGAAATTGCATCAGCTCAAACCAGAGTCAGTGTGAATCGACCCTTCTCGCTAAAATGGCTGGGATTTACCATATAAAAGTTAAAGGTTACTAAGGTGACTATTATTCTCTCAACAAGGAAAAAGGTGAGTTCACTATGTTTCCATTGCTATAGGCAAAGGATAGTTACTGTAAAGCTGATGTTGACCACACATGTCACACAGTGATTCTATCAGTGAATCGCGACAGACTGAATCCCAGAACTGATGGGGCTGGAATACATCTCTCTCAGGCTTGTTGTGTACATGGCTTAGCCTCTGCTTCCCCCTGCTGGACACAAAGAGCTAAAGCGCTCTGGTTAATTAATTTTATAGTACTGTACTGTGAAAAAGTCTCAGGTAGTCAAAGCAAAGGTTATTTATCTAGGTAGTGCATAGTCTTTTAGGCTTAAACCAACCAGACTCTAATCACGAAAGACCCACAGAAGTGTGTGCGTGATGCATAAGAGAATGAAACATTTTAGAATTATTAATTCACTTTTTTTTTAATTAATTTCATAGTTTCTCAGTGGTTAGCAAGTCTGGGATTGGGGTTCAAGTTTCTGTCCTCACTCCATGTGTGTGGAGTCGGTATGGTCTAGGGTGGACTGGAGAATTGTTGTGATGTGTGTGTGTGTGTGTGTGTGTGTGTGTGTGTGTGTTTGCACCCTACAATGGGTTGGGTATAGAAAATGGATAGACAATCAGAGAGGCTCCACCAACTCCTGTTACATCACATTCACATGTTTTTGAGCTGCTTGGCTTTCCGTAGTGGCCATGATACACACCCAGACACCATGGGAACGTCACAGCATCAAATATATTAAGCAATGCAATGGCAAACTGTGGTTCTATAGTATCATTTCAGTGTTTGCCTTACAAATCATTTTCTGGATTCTAAATAATGATCTGAATTAAATGCACAAGCACTGATGATTGTAAAATGATTTTTAAAAAAAAAATAAAAAATCTCTGTGCTTCTCTCTCCACTCACTTTCTGTTTTACATCCCATCATGTTCTACTGAGGGACTGAGAGACTCTGCCATGGTGATGTGACCATAAACCACTGAGAATAATGGTCAAGTTTTACAGCCTGTGGCATTTTTTAATTTCAGCAGCATTTACTGTGGCAGCACTTTACTCACCAAGTCTTTGTAGCAAATAAAAATATATCATAAAACCAACATTAAATGCAGTACCGTTTAAATACACTCAGTGACAAAAAAAAGTTAAGCCCCCGGACAGAGTGGTGGAAATTAAATGAATCTGCATATGGTAAAAGGTCATGTGACTGTATGGCAATGATTATAATATCAGATCAAACGGACAACAGAGTTGGCAGTATGGGCACACTGCTAGTCCCATGTCAGTAGGGTGTGGCACCCCCCTCCCCCCCCCGAGCCTGGATACATGCGGCGATACGGTGCGGATGGGAGTCGTACAGCGGCTGTATCCTCTCCTGCGGCAAGTCGGCCCACAGCTGTTGTAACTGGCCGTCAGGATCCTGCAAATTGGCACTGGGTCTGAGTTGACGTCCGAGATGAAACCACACATGTTCGACTGGGGAATGATTGGGGGACCTGGCTGGCAATGGAAGGACCTCAGCATGACGCAGTCAGTCCTCAGACACACGTGCCATGTGTGGATGGGCATTGTCTTGTTGAAAGACTGTACAAGGATACTATCTCAGGTGGGGTAAGTCACATGGACGCAGGATGTCACTGACGTAGCGTTGTGCCATCAGGGTCCCCCGAATCACTATCAGAGATGACCTGAAGTCACACCCTATGGCTCCCCACACCATGATGTCATACCCTATAGCTCCCCACACCATGATGCCAGGAGTAATGCTGGTGTGTTTCTCCGAAACATTGACAGGATTGGTCCTCTCCCCTCAGCACCACCATATGCGCACATGAAGGTCATCCATGGTAATGCAGAAACGAGATTCATCACTGAATATGATACGGTGCCCCTCGTCATCAGTCCATGCCTCCCGGTTATAGTGCCACTCTAAACGCAGCTGTCTCTACGCTGCTGTTAATGGCAGCCTAAACATGGGACGGTGAACCTGTAATCCGGCTGATGCCAGTCATCAAGACATGGTCTGGGATGACATGGGGTGCTGTAGAGAGTCCAATAGCTGAGTCCGGATGGCAGGTGCAGACGTCATGGGGTTCTGTAATGCTTGGCACACAATATGACGATCCTGCCTTGGTGTGGGCGACCGGAACCATCATGACGTGTGTGAGTGCCCCCAGGTGCCCATTGGTTCCAACACTGGGTGACGTGACACCTGCATGCTCCACATGCCGGGCAATTGCACGATACAACCAGCCGACCTCATGCAAACCCACAATGAGACCCCTATCAAACTCCAAGTGCTGGTAATGCTGTCTAATACATCTATGAGGCATCCTCTGTGTCTGGTGACTAGACATGTCAGCTTCTTGCAAATCGAATCATTTTCATACCCATCGCTGGTCTGTACGTGTACCAAACTACATCCAAATCGGACCAATACTTCTGGTTGCGTAACTTTTTTTGTGACTGAGTGTATTATAAATTAACAAGCCTTTTATGAGAAGTGTTAAGTTACAACTGTTAGATGCATACAGTGTAAGAAGCATCTATCTGCATAATTTTTAATATCTAGAGTGTGTGATGTCAGTGCGTATGCAGTTTGTTTGAAGGCAGAGAACTATTGTTTATGGATGCAGAGGTAGGGTTAGGGTTAGGTTTAGGTACAGTGAAACAACACAGATTATTAAGATTAGCAGGATAGGAATTAGTCTCTGATGAGCAGAGGTTTTAAAAGACGTGCAGCTGTAGTTAGTATTGGAGGAACAGAGCGTTATGTTGTGTATAGCAGAGACTTAAAGCAGGGCCGGTTGTAGCTACAGGCAGGATCAGCGCTTCCTACGGCTCCCGAATTGCGGAGGAAGTGAAATCGTCTTCAGTGTTCAATGTTGTTTACTACTAAGTAAAGCTTCTTCACTCATGTCAATGGAGCAGCACACTTTAGTAATCTTCCCACTTGTTCCACCATTGTTTGCCTAGTGATCTTTTGTGTTTGGCACTGACATGGCATGATGTTAAAATGTTCATTATGTAGTGTATACGAAAGGATTAAAGTGTAAGAAATATGTTACAATTTAGTGTTTTTCAAGAGTAACATTAAGCTATCTGAAATATTCAACCGGAAGTCAGCTGGATACCAGAACTTTTACTGTATCTGAAGAGGAATGAATAAAATCACTGACGTAGCTGGAGTTGAATGAGTGTTAGCATGTGTAGAGGAAGTCAGAGACACTGCAGAATGCTGCTGCAGGTGTTGTGACATTGGGCTCTCGGGGGCCGCTTTGGAGGCCTTTCATCTGGGGCCCGCGCTCCCCTGGGGGCGGATTACAGCATACCTGCCCATTTGGGCTGCTCGGGCCACTGTGCCGGGATCAGCCCTAACAGATTCTGGCTCTCCGCCGATAATCGAGGCGCAGTCCGCCTGACTGCTTGGCGCTTTGGAAGCCGCAGGAGGCGGAAAGGACTCTTCCGAAGCCAGTCAAGTGGATGATGAGGTCGCTGACCTCGGCCGGCATCTTGGAAGGGACAATAGAGCAGGGGGGGAAGTACAATTAGGCCAAAAAAACTGCAATTTCTGGTGATGTTACCCCACCCCCCCTTCACCCTCTACCCTAACCTCCAACATATCCCTTCCAATTTGACAATCCCAAAACAAGTAAGGTGATAGGCAGCAACAAAAAGTAATCCCCTTACATAACACAGCTAGGTGTTATATTACCTTTGACGCAATGCTAAAAATACAAGAACGATGACCAGCATGATGTCAAATGACCAAGCACTGCAAAAAGTGGCAATGTACCACACGCAGTACTGGGGTCATCAGGTGGGGGGGCAGCAGGGTGTTCTATTTTTATACTCGTTAGCGACAGTGATTTTGCAGACAGCAGATTGCATATTCTCGCCCCTGTGTTCATTCTGCTTCAGCGGCCAGAGGACCCGAAGGTTCTCTGCAGCGAAGCACGCTTGAAGGTTAGTGGTATTCAAACCTGTTACTGAAACCCCCTGGTCTGGAGTATGAGTTGGGTGTTAAATGTAGCTACTGTGGCGCCAGGCTGAGCAATTGCGCTGAGTTTTCTGAGGTTTATTTGTTGTTTCTGAAACCACGACCATGGTGTGATAGCCATGGTTTGCCAGTTCAGTTCCTGAGAAGCATTTACTTTATTTTCTGTACAGCATGAGCTTCATAAGGTGTCTCTCTAAGTCTGAGAAGCTTTGTAGGTTTCATACATATTCAGAAAAATAACAGCGTTCTTTAATAGGGAAAATGCAGATAGCACAGAACTTCCTGCAGTAGCTTTTCTCATCTTGATCTCTTTCTCTTAGATTCCTATGTAATTAAAGCAAATGGAACTCGATGAAAAAATCAATGAAAGCCACGAGACAGCAGAGCCAAAATTACAGCCATGATGTAATTCCCAAATTTGTTTTGTGGCCGGTACCAATAGACTGCTGTTTGTCGGCTATGTGGATCGTCACAGTTGAGCTACAGTTGGAGGTCTAAGCTTGTGAGGTCTCCATGACCAGATCTCCAGGTCTTTGCGGGACAGCTGCAGCTTGTTAATCTCTTTTATATACATAATTGTATTGTGGCGTAGCGGAGATTATGTATGTTTAACACCTCTCGGATTCTAAAATGGTGAAAATAAAGAGGCGAAGAAATCGTGCCACTTTAGCATGTTGCCACTTGAGAAACTTACACAGCTACTGAGAGTGTAAATAATCCTCTGTCCCAAATGGCACATTCCCCTCATAGATCCTTACAGGTCACCAGAGGAATCACCCATAACCATTTTTTAAAATAAAAGAGCTTGAAATATAACTATCGCAGAAATATTTAAATCAATTAACATAACAATGTGAACATACATTTAATGTGTCACCCCCCAAAACTGAAAAGACTCATGACATTAGATTTTCCCATTCAGCTCTTTGACCTAACATATGGAATGAAATATGTTCCACTAGGATATGAATTTGAGTCTAGCAAATCTGAATTTGAATGTCTTAACTTATCATTGAAAATGTTTTGAATTTGAATTAAGTCTGGCTAAGAAACCTCAGTAACTTGCAAACCTCACCGACTGTGTTGGGCTTCTTCGGTCTCAGAGAGCACAGTCATCAAGTCTCTTGGGTCAATGCAGACACCAGTCTCCCCCCATATCTAATTTCTTTTCTGAAAAGTTCACACTTGGCAGGTCTATGGCTGGTGTGTTGGCCAGGCCAAAAGGCATATGCACCCACTCTTACAGCCCCTGTGGTATGATAAATGCATGAGGTGCCTTGACCTCTCAGCCACAAAGCCTTAACTTTTCCCTGACCCTGGTTGGAAAACCACCGGTATCCTAGGGGGGGCAGTGTTTCCTAATCCAGTCCGCTGGGAACCCACAGCCGGTCCACATTTTTGCTCCCTTCAAGCTCCCTGCCAGATAGTCCACATTTTTGCTCTATCACAGTTCCTGGTAGGAGTAAAAACGTGGACTGTCTGTGAGTCCCAAGGACTGGATTGGGAAAATTGCATTAGTGTGTCAACAAAGTCCTGGATGCAGGGGCGTGGATGCCTTTTGGTTTAGAAGCTGGAAATTGATGCACAGTTTGAATATACTATGCTTTTTATGGACACATATGCCTGTGTAATATGACTTTAACTTCACAACCCATGTTTTAGCCAGAAAGTGCTAGGTGTGTACACAAGCATCAATCTCATCCCTGACCACTTCAGCACCCAACCCTCTGGCCACACACAGAGCTGAAACATCCATTGAAAGTCTCTCTCTGTTTGCATGTCATTTTGCAAAGTATTCAGTGCTCAAGCTCAAGCAAGCAGCACAGAGGCCGTGGGGTTAGGTAAATGAGGGATTTATTCAGAGAATACAATGAGCAACACGGAGCAACACACAGGACTGTCGTCAATGACCCGGGAAACATACTCTAACGTGGACTTAAATACACAACAACAATCAACATGACTGGAAACAGCTGGTAACACGGGGATTCCACAGGAGGTAGCAAGGGGGGCGTGGCACACAGGAGGATCGGCACGAGCAGGGCATGACACAGACAAGTAAACAAGCTGCAAACAAATTTAAAAAGTACACAGTAAACAAGCAGAATATCCTGAAAACAGAATATCAAGGAAATAGCTAAATATATATATATAATAATTTAACTGATGGTAAATGCAGTTAAAAAGAGTGGATGATGGTGGTTTGGGAGATTATCCCAAGTGACAAGTTTCTATGGAGATGGTGGTTGGGGTTACCTTTTGGTTCTGCAACCCTGAAAGGAGTCCAGCCAACCACAGCAGTGCTCCAGGAGAGCAGCTCAGTGAAGCAGCTAAGCTGCTCATCACATGCGTTCTGGTTTATTACACATTCACAGCAATTACACAGACGAAAGGGGGAGTGGGGGCGTTTGGCTGTTCCTGAGAGGATCTGCTGCACCTTGACTGCTTTCTGACTTCAACTTTAAGTGTTTCTGGTCCAAGATTCACGCAGCACAGGCAAGGTGACTGAACGCATAGACTCAACTCCTCCAAGCCCCCAAAATTCAGGCAAGTTCTGCTAACCAGAATCAGAACCAGAATCATTTATTAAGGACAATCAAGACAATATAATCAATCATGTATATAAAAACATATACATAAAGAGCCAGGATAAGAGGTAGTCCCATATAAAAAAAGCCTGGCTTGCACCTTTTTCTGTTTTTCTGTAGGATGCGGTTTAAGGAACAGTACATCTTAAAGAGAGTGGGGTTTAAGGAACAGTACATCGTAAAGAGAGTGGGGTTTAAGGAACAGTACATCGTAAAGAGAGTGTGGTTTAAGGAACAGTACATCGTAAAGAGAGTGGGGTTTAAGGAACAGTACATCGTAAAGAGAGTGTGGTTTAAGGAACAGTACATCGTAAAGAGAGTGGGGTTTAAGGAACAGTATATCGTAAACAGAGTGGGGTTTAAGGAACAGTATATCGTAAACAGAGTGGGGTCTAAGGAGCAGTATATCGTAAACAGAGAAGCTTGGCAGGAGCGCATCCAAAAAGTCATGTGCGTTTCCTCAAGTGTTTCTGAGCCCCACGCGCTGGCTCTGTAATTGGTGGTGCACTGTGGTATCCTAGCGTGCCTTCTGACAGTAAAGAAGATCTCTGCTGAAAGCCAAAGGAAGTGGCCAGTGACGTAGAGCTGCCGCAAACTGGGAAACTCCCGCGGCAAATGGATGGACGGATGGACAGCCAGCGGGGGAAGCAAGACCTGCAAATCCGCAGCTGAGAAAACTAGTGAAATCTATCTAATATAAACAGGGTTGGGACACCACCCCCCCATCCAAAATGCCGTAATGGTAGAAGTGGACAAACAGACTGACGTCTGTTTTCCAGACTTCCTTTATTTTTCCACAAAGTGTTTGAAGTCCCGAAAGAAGTGTCATGGTTGAACTTTCTTCAGGTTCTGCTTTCTAAGCCCAGAGTCCTATTTGCATGTAATATGTAGCGGTGTGTGTGTGTGTGTGTGTGTGTGTGGGGGAGGGGGGGGGTCCCATTGGCTGGCAGGCTAATACGTGTCCATTTTATTTGGGGGTGAGGGGAGGCAGCGGTGAGGCAGGAGTGGGGAATCAGGTGGGCAGAAAAAAGACATTTAACAAAGGTGCACATGTGGATTTGGAATGTAGAGAACGTGCAGCCAAGGAGTAAGTATGAGTGAAACTTTTCAGGCAGGACGGAGTGAGCGAGTAAGGATTTGCTGTTTGTGGACATATTGGGGGGCATGGATTTTTTTTGACAAGTAAAGGGATTGGCTCGAAGATGCCGGCCTTCATGATTATCTGTGTCATCCTCTATTTTCATATTAGGGATAAGGGTGTAGGAGAGCATTTGGTATTGGGGGGGACACAGCTAAATTATTTAGGCAAAGGTTTACTTTTTAGAGGGGGACTGATGACATCAATAAAATACCGGGGAGCACATGTCCCCCCTGTCCCCCCCAGTTCCTGCTCCACTGGACACAGCGACATTCCCTGTTAGATTGTGCTGGGAGGGGAATCAGACAGGAATGTACCTCACTGAGAAAGCAGCGGTTGGGCCATGAGCCTGGGGCGGCTGTCACCCCTCCTCTGGCAATGGCTGTCCCCCCCCCCTGGCCGGACTGCTTTTTTGTCCCCCTTGGATAACTTTAAGGGGCGCCCAGCGCCTGGTAACCAGAACAATAGGCTGACGGGTGGTCTATCGGGGGCAGGGGGGGGGGGCTGTCGTGTCGGCAAGACCAAAGGGGCTTCTGATCTTATTTACCCCGGCTGCCGAGGGCCCCGTGATGATCAGAGGGGCGACGGTGAATCAAGCCATCTCCCTGAGGGGTGGGGTGGTGGCAGCAGTGACAGGGGGGGCAAAGGAACGAGGAGTGAGGCTCGATTATGGGCTTGAATTTTAGCGCCGGGAAGCAGAAGCTGAAGCATGAAGTATTATACAGACCCACGTCGAGTGAAGCAGCAGCCGGAATATAAGGCTAATTTTACACGTAGGCCAGAGAGGCCCTCGGCGCCACGCCCCCATCACCTCTGTCCTCCTTTTTTACCTTCTCATCTCTTCTCTTCCTCTCCCATCCTTCCCACCCAGTAGAGTCCAGCTGACGGAAGCTCTTTTGTCCTTTTCCCAGACAACAACATCAAAGACCCGCAGGCTAGTATATAGACAGGCACCCACCATCTACCACCCCCAAAAAACAACATGAGTGCTCAGACCGAATTCACCACAGTACTCCTGATGACAGGGAGTGAGAACACAAGGAATGGGCCGGTGAGGGGGCTGGGGGGGGGTCCTGATTTTTAACATAGATAGTGATTTATTCCGATCTGCTTACAGACCCACTCCTGCCAAATTCATGACCTCCTGAGTCAACGCAGAAATATGGCACAGATACAAGATTACATTTGATCTAAAACAACGTTTTCATCAAGGGAAAATAAAGTTCGAAGTTGAAAAGGC